GAAGTCTCCCATTAGTTTATTTCGCGCATGTTATATATTATTTATTTTTATAATTTGAATAAATCTTTTTATTAATAAACTATTATTATTTTAGAAATATTTTTTTAAATAATTAATTAATTTTCCTCCACTGCAATGCACCATTTCAAACAAGCTTTTTACATAAAGAATATATTTTTATGTATAGCTTAAAATATAATTAATCATGCTCCGCCTCCAATTCCAATACACACCTCCGGCTCCCTCACACTTCGTTTAATATTCAGCCAATGACCTTTGCGGCGGCATCTTTGACATCTTTGACATCGGCCCGCATTGCTGCAAGCAAAGTAGGAAAATCGCCTCCAGTTGATTTGCCGCTGTGCCGAGGCAGGCGGCTGAACACGACTTTTGCATTTTGCATCCATAACTTTGCCAGCAATCAAATCAGCTAGCTAGCGGGAGCTACCAATCTTCTTCTTCCACTTCCACTTTTTCTTCTTCTTGGTTAAATTTTTGTACCAACTTTAAGGGCGTTGAAACAAAATGGCGCCGCTTCAAGTTAGAAAAAGCTGGAAAAGTGCTGTGGGGACTGAGCCCGATTGAGGGGGGTGTCATAAAAAGCGCAGCAAAAGAAAAATCACAAAAAAAAACGCAATTTTAATTTCTGCTTATGCCCCTAATTTTTTGCCTTTTTCACACGTTTCTTTGTTTGAGCAGCAGCAAACTTCGGAGCAAGCACGAAGGCGTCGCGTGCCAAAGGGTTAACAATTTGGCCAAGAGTTTTCCGGTCGCAGGGGGCTCACTTGCCCAAGTCGAAAGGGGAACTTTTTATTTTTGATGCAGACCGCAGTTTTTAAGAGTCTGCCGGGGCGCTGAGAATAAAAAAACAAGTAAGAAAGCTCTAGTCGAGACTGCTCGACTACGAGATCCCCTGAACCCTTGGAGTGCTAGCTATTTYAAKAWWTTTTYSYGTCTTTCAGCTTACACAAGAAACACACACACATACACAAACACATACACATACAAGCACCCACGCATAAACACGCATGGGCTGCAGTCTGCGCTTACTATGAGAACTTAATTGTTTAATAACTTTTTTTGTGGACGTACGATCTTCATGAAACTTTCAGATTATGATTATAACATGAACATGCATGTAATTGCCAAAGCACAAGTCTCTAGTATTTGAAATACGCGTTTTACAAAAGTGAGGGTGAGGGGGTGAATTTAGAGGTGGGGGGTAAATTTTAACAAAAACCGAAATTGTATAAATTGCATATAAGCATACATTCAAAATTTGAAGACTCTAGCAAAAAAGGTGTAGAAGATATAATTTTATAACTGTTTTTCGATAAGGTTTTTCATCGATAAAAAAAGATCGGGATGAGTTATCGAATTTTAATGATAAACTCGATATCCGCGCTGTAATTACGAACATTTTACAAAAAATTTGAAGTCTCTAGCTCTTATATCTTCGGAAATCGACGCGTTCAAACATACGGACAGACGGACAGACGGACAGACGGACAGAC